TTTATAAAAGAAAAGAGGGGGGAAGAAGACACAAAATCACACAAAGATCAGGCTCACAGCCTGTTAGCGACACTAGTGCAGCCCCTCAGAGTATGGCCCTTAGACACCCTTCAAAGCTGGACCTGAACTCAACAAGAAAAACCTCTTCAGCCAAAATGGCAGCAAAAGATGCAAACGACAGTGTCTGATTAATTACGACCTGCGTGGCATCCACAAAGGTAATCAGATTACCACACATCCAATGGCAAATAATCTCAATTAGCAGGAATGTCTTTCCATCAGTAAAATAAATGGAAGGCTACTGCTTTGGAATTTGCAAAAATAAGGCAAGACATCTAAAATGAACAATTCCTTCTTTCCATGCCAGTAATTCTATTTCAAGTATCTCTTAAAGCATCTTTCTGAATTTTCCATTCTTTAGACTTGGATTCAATCACTAGGAAGCTATAGGTTTATCACCTTTAATTACTTCACGTTTCAATTCCTATAAAAATAATTTGTTTCTAAACCATTTCTTTTATTAATTATATAGCAATCATTTTAAATACACAAAAGCACACACACACAAACAACACTCCTCAGGTGATATGATCCTCCTCAGTAGATGTGTGAGTTTTCAAATAAGTTACCTTCTTAGAATCTTAAGAAGTTTAAAATCAATATAATAATCTTTAAAATCAATATAAGAATCTTAAGAAATGTAAAATTATGGACTGGAAATGAGATTCTGACTGAAAGAAAGAAAATGGTGCAGCGTTATATGAGTGAGGAAGGTATGTATGAAAATAGAGAAGTAAACAGCAGTATTAATTTCGCCATCATGGGCATCATAACTATGCTGCAGGAACCACATTTAACTCTGCTTTTCTGAGGGAGAGTTTCTCTCATGGAAGGAACCTAGAGTCATGAAAATCTCATGGACTTGATGTTGGTTAGTGTCCATCTAGAAGCTTTGGTGATTCTAACCCACCAGTCACTGTGCAGGAGAAAGGAGAGGCAGTCTGCTTCCGTAAAGACTGACAGCCTTGGAAATGTTATGGGGCAGTTCTACTCCATCCTATAGGGTCTCCATGAGTCAGAATCGACTCAATGGCAGTGGGTTGGGTTGGGCTTCTGTGTCCATGTATTACATTATTCCTATCAAGCAAGGAGAAAATAGTAATTGACATAATTTAAGCAAACCATTTCCTTTCCATCAACTCCCACTTACCATTATTTCTCCTTTTTTCCTACTAATGATAGGATGGGAGAAAGACAGATTGTGCAGACCCCAAAACAGTATGTCCAAACCTAGAAGGGTCTCCTTAGCTTGAAACATATGTTTAAAACAGTCCATTTATACCTGGCACAGGTACAAACTGCAGAGTCATGGAAGATGAAGAGTTAAAGAACAATTAAGAGAGAGGCAGATGGTAAATAGCACAGGCAAAGGCTCAGTGTTCAAAGCAAGGCAAGTTCAAAGCTAAGCTTCGTAAGGAAGTGGGGAGGCCTAGACAAGCAGGAGACACCTGGGGTGCCAGCTCAGGATCTCAGT